TGTGTGTGTGTGTGTGAGAGAGAGAGAGAGAGAGAGAGAGAGAGAGCAAGATGGAGAGAGAGAGGGAGAAGGTCATAGTGGTCATTGTTGTTGGAGGAAATTAGTCACAAAAACGAATATGAGTAGGAATCTGGCCTTTGTCTCTCATAATTCAATGATGTTTATAAATAAAAGTTAAAAAAAGCTCTTTTAGTAAAATGTATTATATTCACTAGGGGTATATATTTTATATAAACCTATTAACTTTTAAAAACTATTATGTTAAAAAAGCAATTGTATAAAAGTTAGTGTTGTCGAAAAGACCTCTAGAATTTAGTCTACAATCCTCAGGCCTTATTTTCATGGACTTAGTAAATTTCTTTTACATTTTAGGCTATTATATTAGATGCCAAATGGGCTTATAATGACCCTCACCTAATATGCAATAAAAATTGGAGACTATTAAAACTTCATTTTGAGTTTTCATTCTAAACACAGGTTTTGCATTATTCTACTCTGGCTTCATGGCTAATGATGAATATACTTGATGAGGAATACTTCACTTTAAGTGGCAGTTCTGAAGTATTTGCATGGAAGGTGGTGCACAATTAAAATTATTCTAACAGTCTGTTATGCACTGTACACAAGTAATAAAATTAATGGATGCACTTGAAGTCATGATCCATTTCCTCTGGGTGCAATATATTTATTCATGGACTATTTCAGGGGTTGTTTAGAATATGAGATGTAAATGGATTATGATCCATTATCCCTGAGATTCTAATGTACTACTACAAAATGGCTTCCATAAGTATTGTTCATAATGCATGGTGAGTTAGTGTTTGTATTCTTAAGTAACTAGCAAAAAATTAGAAAAAAAAGAGGCTCAAATGATTGATACTTAAAAATTTGCAGATATTCACACTTAAAATGTGTCATAAAATTTAAAATTTTCAGTTGGGTTAAGGAGCATATAATTTTACAAAATACACATAAAACATTTACATATAATAGTGAAATTATTCATGTTCCAGGATTCATTTGGGAAACAGTATCCTTATTTATTCTACAAAATTTTAAGAAACTTTCTCAAAATAGATGGCCAGTTCATGAAGTTGAAGTAACAGCATTTATAATTTTAATTTGAAATAAACATTACATAATGTGCCATGTACCAGTGCTTTTGATCCTTCCCCCAAGTATTTTAAGCAAAAGCAAATTTGAAGCAAGAGAGACTATGTGCGTGTTTGTTTTTGGCTTTTTATGTCTATGGGTATTGCTCCCCTAATGTTCATATTCATATGAAGTAAGGTATTGATTTGGTCTTGTGTGAGTTCACAAGTACACTGTATTTATTCCTTACCTACTCTAAGCTGGGAACTCTATCAGATACTGCCAGTGGAGACCTTTTTCTCAGAGGGGTTTAGAGTTTAGAAGGACAGGCTATACTCTTGTTGAGCAGGAAGTATATTCACACATGAAGTAATATAATACTTACACGCAAATCCTTCATAATAGGATATCTGATTCTCTGTGGTCAACATCATGTTTTTGCCAGTGACATGTAGAAGTTTCTGTTTTTAATTTTTGGCATGGTTGCCCTTTATAACTTTAATTGCAAATGAGTATGGATATATGGCCAAATACTCCAAGCGTTGCTAATAAACTCATTACTTTATCACTGGTTGATATGATTTCTTTTAAAAATGTCCATGTGCACTTTCTATATCCCGTATTAGTGTCCTATTATATAAAATGAGCACTAACTTTAAAAATACTAGTCATTGGGGTGCCTGGGTGGCTCAGATAGTTGGGCGACAGCCTACGGCTCAGGTCGTGATCCTGGAGTCCTGGGATCGAGTCCCGCATCGGGCTTCCTGCTCGGCGGGAAGTGTGCTTCTCCCTCTGACCCTCTTCCCTCTCATGCTCTCTATCTCTCATTCTCTCTCTCTCAAATAAATAAATAAAATATTAAAAAAAAATACTAGTCATTGATTCTTTATAAATGCCCCCCTTCAGTCATTAAAAAGACCTCCCCCCACCAATTTCAACATTTGAAAGATCTGATCTCTCTTTTTTGTTGTTGTTGTTGGCTACATATTATTTGCTGTAACATTGACTAATATTTATTGGTTTCCTGGCGTATGTCAGACTTTGTGTAACTGCTTCATATCTGCTAACTCAGAATCCTCATTGGTATCCTATGAGGTCAGTTCTGTTTTAGCCTCATTTCATGGATGAGAAAAATGAGATCCAGTGGGATCAAATAATTGAACCTCATTAACCGATTTAGTAAAAGGAGTGAAATTTGAACTCAGTTCTGACTAATACCACAGCTCTTACTGTGATTTTCTGCAACTTTATTCCCTTTCACCATTTATCCTAATATGGAGATCCTTATTTTACCTATTATTGTATTTTAATCACCTTTATTCATTTATAAAAATCAATATGTTAATAAGTAGAGAGTACTATAGATTTCATAGTGGATTTGTACAAAACTTGCTTTTCTCATTTATTTTAATTCCTTTTGCGGTGATATTTAGAATGTGGACATTTTTTTGGCCTGATGTATTGAGCTGATAGTTTTGGGGAATGATCAACAAGGACACATTAAAAATTCTATCCCTAGATTTTAATAGATACCACAGGACCTATTGATAGTTCATTATAGTTTGATTTATATTTTTCTGATTAGATTAACATGTATTATTCATATTGAAAATTACCTTATGGTTTTATTTTTTCATTTGAGAGGGCTGGCTCTTTATATGATTGACCTCTCTCAGGGACAGTGAGGTATTTTTCTGTGTATTTCTTTTTAATTTAGAGAAATGTTAAATAAGACTCAATGCAGTATCAGTTCATCAGTACCTTTGAATTACTTTAGCATCTCTGGCCTACCTATACTGGAATTGGGCCAACATGGTCTTCGTTCTTTTCTAAGTGCTTATTCAAGTTTAACATCTACTGAAAATATTCCTCTAAACATCTGATCATTTATATCCATGGCACATTTTTGAATCGTTATCTAACATAATGTAACATCTCTCCCTTGTGTATTTTTAAATTACTCCCTTTTGTTTTCTAACAATAATATTAGCATTTTATCATAGTATTTTTTTTCTCAAACTGAATGCCTATATGACCCAGTTTTGGATTCTTCTCTTACACTTTGTAGCAAACGTGATCGTTTTGCAACTACAGTTATTTAGTGGCATGCCCCAAACATATTTTGATACAATTCTTGGTCACTGCTCTAAACCAAATTATCACAAACAGTATATCACACAAAACATCCAGATTTCTCAATAAAGCCAATTGCTTCCTTAACTATTAGAGTATTAAAAGAATTTTTTAGCTTCTACAAACCTTTTATAGTTGTATATATGGAGACTTGCATCTTTTATGTTTTTACACTTTATTTTAAAAGTTACTTTTCTTTAAAAATATGTCAGCCAAAGAAGGAAGAAAAGATTGTTGCCAATAATATTTGCAAAGGTTGTGTTCTCCAGGGTCCTATCAAAAGTTTGAAATCAGTGAAGTTGGAGTTACTTTTCAAATCAATTGAGAGATGTGCTTTGGTGTATAACATAATTAAAACAAAATGAAAACTAGAATATCTGAGCAGAGGAGAGTAAAAAAGGGTAAAATAATCTAGTCGAATTCAAATCTCTATTTTTTTAGGCTTTAAAAAGATTGGGAAGCATGTTTGTAAAACCACAGGACTTCTCTTTGCTAGAGATGGTCTGTAGACTTGTTAACAAACTCCTTGCCTGTTAACCAAATCACATTCCTAGGAAGTCGAGTAGAACTAACATTCATAAAAGTAGATTTTTCTTAGACAACTTTGTCATCACTAAATCACTTTAACCCATAGATATTTTAATCTAGAGGAAGAACCTTACAGTGAGTTCATGATCCCTTTTGAGATCCCTATGGATATATGTAGGAAGAGGAAACATTCAAATAATATTTCAAAAACTATAAGAAAGTTATCAATGCTATCATAGCTGTATTTTAAAATGCATATCATATTTAATATTTTATATAATGTAATTTAAGGAAGTTACTATATAAATTTATACGTGTGTGTGTAAGAAAACTGGAATTTTGTCAACTAAATATAGAGAGTATCTTAACACATAGCATTACATGATGTTTTCTTTCTTGATGTGTATAGGATAATATATACTTGGATTGGCATTAGTCATCACATAGCACATTATGATAAACTTAAGTAAGATAGTATATATTAAAAGACACCAAATTCCTAACACATACTGGGTTCTCCAGAAAGCTAAAAATGATAATGATGTTCTTACGTTTCCATTTTGCCTTTGATAGATTTTTTTCTGCTTTAGTTTTGTTATATATGATTTTAAATTATCAGATCAACTTCCACATTTGTAAATGATATGTAAGTAACATGAAAATCCTTTTCATATTAGAAAGATTATTTTTTAGTGCTTGTTTCACTTCTTTGGACCCATGGAAAATCTGCTTATTTCTGCCTTTCTATAGCAGAAATGGAGAATTACTGCTTTTTGATAAATGCTCCTTTACTTCTTTATTAAAATCCAAGTAATACTTCAGCTAATTCCCAAACCATTTAAAAATTACAAATGTTACTGTTTCGATGTACATTTTACATTTCAGTAGCATACATGATATTTAACAATGATTTGAGAATCCTCCAAAAGATTTTTTTGTCCATGATCCATCTTCCAATCCCTCTCAGAGCTTTGACCCTTTTTGTTTTTATTTAAATATATTCTACTCTTCTACATCTTATGTGTCCTTATTTATTATTTTATTACATTCATACTCTTGATAAGATGCATCTCTAATAATTTACAATCAGTAATCAGAAATCCTGTTGGTACTTCTAGTTCTTTATCAGTGAATAAAGGTTTTGTTCAAAATCCTTCATATGATGAATACTTTTAAACTTGAGACAAACGGGTTTTCATGTCTTGCAGTCTGTGGCTTCAATGGGTATATTTTAAAAATCTTTCTAGAGGGTGTTAATGCTGACAGCATCAAACAAGCCTCAGAACAACTGAACAGCCGGTGGATAGAGTTCTGCCAATTGCTAAGTGAGAGACTTAACTGGCTGGAGTATCAGAACAACATCATCACTTTCTATAATCAGCTACAACAATTGGAGCAGATGACAACTACTGCTGAAAACTGGTTGAAAACCCAACCCACCACCACATCAGAGCCAACAACAATTAAAAGCCAGTTAAAAATTTGTAAGGTAAGATTCTTCCTATTTGGATCACTATCAATAGTAATTTCTTGGCAATTTCCAGAAGAATAGCAAATTATTTAATAAAAAAACTCCCTTTGAATAAAAAAATTAAACACAAAGATCAAAATGTAAGTGAAGAAAATGAGTTTAAATAGATAATATATGATGTCTGGATCCTAAAAATATATATATATATTTAGAGTACTTACACATGGCTAATTGATTTTGTCAGTTTGCAGAATGGTGAAGCAGTTTTGGAGTATGGAAACTACACATATCCTATGAGAAATGGCCGATAATTTGGAGCTCTTTTCTATGACAGCTCATGTGCTAAAAGCAAAACTTAGTCATATGTTAAAAAAGTGGAATCCACACAAACACAAGCAGCTGATGCACTATATAATTGGATATATGAGGAAAATCTTTAAAACTGACAGTTCACTCAAATTTGGATAATTTGAGGAAGGTTTCCTTACCAAATACTTCATCATTGTGCTTAGAGTCTGGAGGAACCTTAAGGGATAGTAGAGTAACCCGGCGTCAGAGCTGTAACCATTCTGAGGACAGAAAGGATTAGAGAGAGAGAAGTGGCAGAAACCTAGAAGGAGCAAGTTGGACACTCATTGTAAAGACAGCCTTAAGAGCCAGCCCAAGTGCCATCACAGGAAGGGAGCCAGAAAAATCACCACATTGCTTCACTCTCCTCCCTGCCTCTAGAATCTGAATCTGGATAGGGCTCCCCATTGGCTAAACTTAATCAGTGGGCAGAGTACAAAGAGCCCTAGTCTGTTAAGTGTCATTCTCCTGAGTTCTAGAAGTGGACAGTGGATCCGGAGGGCCAAACAAGGTATAACTGGGACCAAGGAAACCAAGAAAGAGATTATAAGAGTATGTCTGCAAATGTAAGAAAATCAGTTATACAGTAATGAAGATGACTTGAATGTTTTGCATGGTTACTATGAGCTGAACACTTTTCATGGAAAGTGGGGGATTGCATAGATGAAAAGGTTTCTAGGATAAACATCAATGATAGACAGAGATGGCTAGGTTTAATCCGAGAAACAGTGAGTGGAGGTTAATGTGCATACTTTGAAAAGAATGGTTTAAATAATGGGAGACTGGAGATGGAGAGGTGACAAGGTTGGTTTGGAGGTAGTATTAAACTCAGGAAGGGTTGGGAAATTCAAAGCTATTTTGAAGGGAAAAACAGTTGAGGTACCTGATGATTCTTTTACATATTGGTCCTACAGCTTTACTAGGAAATGACTAAATTCAGGAAATAAATTTCTAGATAAAGAATATAGTACAGAAAGGCATTTAGTTTTTTTATGCAAATATGCAAATCTAGGGAACTTCTATACTTAAAGATGCATTTTGCTGTTAATAGAATCCATGACTCCTTTTTTTTTTTCCTGTGAATCTGTGGAATACTCCACCTGCATTATTTCTTGTAACAAAATTTGATATTACCTTAACCTGTTTCTTGAGATTCAGATACAAAAAGTAACCATTAAATCTACAAAATACATACGGCCATAAAAGAAATAGTCAACGTCTCTAGTGTTGCCGAGAATGATACTAGGGGTATTAGCTACCTTGAGCTGCCTGACAGATACCACAGGGTTATTGGTGGCTTAAACAACAACCACCGCCAAGGAGCTGAAAGAAGGCCAATGTGAATACTGGACAGAGAGGTGTGAGGGGTGGACATAAGATGAAGGATGGAGCCCCAAAGACAGGCATATAGGAGACAAAGCAAGGACTCTTGGGGCCTGGAGGATATTGGTCTTCATCTGAGGAGCAAATAGAGATCATTGGTGGTTTCATATCTTAAATAGTCTCTCAAGGCTAAGGAAGTCATCCTAAGGGAAATTATTTCTATTTTTCTGCATTCAGCCACAAGGTTCCAAATTTTGATGACATAATTCCATCCCTTTTCATTATCCCTTCCTCTTTTTCTCTGCACCTTTGGTTGCTATATTAACTCGATGAATCACCTTGGGTAAAATAGTTAGCAGGATAAGCTCACAATCATTCATGCAAAAGTTAACATTATACTATTTCACTATGATTAATGCTAGGTAAATAAATTTTTCCATCTTGTTTGTCAGTGCATTCTGTTATTTGAAGATGTTTTCTAAGATTAGACCACAGTATTAGCTCCAAATATAATGCTTGCTAGAACTGGTTCTTCATGTGGGGGTTAGAGGCCCTTTGGGAATCGGAAGAAATCCATGGACCCTTTCCCAAAAGAAATGCAAAAGTTTTTCCATTAGATAAACACAAAATTTTGAAGGATAAACAGACTCAGGGAAGATGCCTTACTCAGGAGGACTAACCATATTAAGGCCCTTTTGTGGAAATAATGAATAATTGTTAACATCTTTTAAATGTTAAATATTTCAAGTCAAAATGATCTCTCCTATGGCTTACTCTCAGAACTTTAAGGTCTCAATTGAACATTTGCCCAAATGTTTTATTAGTTTCTGAGTCCCCTTTGTTTTGCAGAACACACTTTATTATACTGTAGGCTCCTTCAGTAGCCCCCTAAACAGGAAGAATGACGGCCCTCCATCTGGCCAAATGTAAATCGGGTTCTTAAATGTTTCACAGCAGATGGCAATGGTACCATTTGTAAGCCTAGTGTACAAAGTGCATGTCTTTAATTCTATAATCAAAAACACGGAGTATTACCCTTTAGCTCTTGTCTTGTTCTTCATCCATGGATATACACCTACCTTCTAGCCCTAGATTGAGAGGCTTTATATTGGAATGGGAGACATGGGTCATCTCCCTATTTATATAAATGGCTTTCATCTTCACCAGCAAAAGAATTTGATTGTCCGAGATTAACCTACCTGAATCAACTCTTACTGTTATAACCACATAGTAACACTCCTCTGAAAGTTATCCTTTATCTTCCAAAAATTGTTAACAAGTGACAGTGCCCATTAGGTAGTCTTGCTACTATGAAAGAACCTTTGGGATACATTTATCTTACTGAATCCTAAGACAAAAATTACTCTCTCCAAAACAGTACGTATGCATCCAAAAAATAACTTGTTCTTTTTTCTTTTTTTCACTTTGACTATCCAGAAGCTCAGATTTATATTTAATTCATAATTACTGTAATTATTTACATTTTCCCCTCCTCCTAATTGTCTTGTAATCCAGTTTTAAAATTTTAATTGTCCTTTTTTTTTTTTTACATTTTTAAATGGTAAACAATCCCGAAGTACTTTTTTTTCTAAAGGTAGCCGAGGTGTGAATTGTAAGTAAGCAGTCATGGTAATAATACTTAAAGAGCATTTGGACATTCTGTATGAATTCCAATTATATGTGTAGCAGAGACATAGGAATTGCAGCTTCACTGGAAACAAAAGAGAATGAAAACATTCTCATTTGAACAGCACTGTTCCAAAGAAATATAATGCAAGCCATGAATTTGAGCCACATATGTAGTTTTAAATGTTCTAGAAACAATATGGAAAAAGGTAAATGAATTTCAATAATGCATGTTATTTAAAACAGTAAATTGAAAATATTATATCAAGATTGAATCAGTATTTGGAACCATGGGTTAATATTTGTATATTTTCATACTAAGTCTTCAAAATTCAATGTGTTTTACAATGACAGCACATCTGAATTTGGACTGGCCACATTTCAGGTGTTCAGTAGCCACGTATGGCTAGTGACCACCATTTGCACAGCAGTGGGTCCATGTGATTTTATCATCCAAACCAGAGTACTCTTTGAGAGTGAAAGGGGGTGTTATTAACACTTATGCCAGGACGAGAAAGCAGAGCAAACTCTCACCCTAACTGAAAGAGTGGTAATTGCCTGTTCAGTCAGAAGTAATGTGCCCATATAAGAGATAGATAATTATAGACATAAATATGTGCATGTTTATGTAAGTATTACATAGATTATGTAACCTATGAAATATCCGTGTATAAAGATAAATGTGTAATTTAATGCAGTAGGTATGTATGTAGATATATACGGATTGATGTAATTTATATTCTTCACAAGTGAATTTAAAGAAAAATATTGTTCATTAAACAAGCTTAGAATTTGAAGCAAAGGCACAGCATTTTGAGATAAGAGGGGTACAGAGGAACATTCATGTCTGATTGAGAGGACATAAGGTCATTCATAGCACTTTTCAAGTGCAGATCCACACCCATTAATGCTGTAAATGATGTGATTTTGAAATTTAAAGACAGTTCTATATGATGGTATCTTTTGAGTGAAGAGCCAAGGTATTTTTAAATTGATGATCTGTGCCGGAGGCTGGCCTAAACTCTCATGGATATTTCTTACCAATTTTTTGATAAGGGCATTAAGCTAAGCTTGCATCCCTGGCTTTTAACACCTTTCTTTGCAAAAATGTAATCTATGCAAAGTAAAAGTTTTATTTATTTTAATACTCTAAATTACGGTACAGGATGAAGTCCACCGGCTGTCAGCTCTTCAGCCTCAAATCGAACGATTAAAAATTCAAAGCGTAGCCTTGAAAGAAAAAGGACAAGGGCCAGTATTCCTGGATGCAGACTTTGTGGCCTTTACAAATCATTTTAACCAAGTCTTTGCTGATGTGCAGGCAAGAGAAAAAGAGCTCCAAACAAGTAAGTAAAAATACTTGAAATGGCTACTTGCTATTTTCCAAATTCAGTATTTGTTGGAAAAAGAGAAAGTACTCACATGAAAGAGTAATTTCTATCAAAGGAATCCACTGTCCCTACATTCTGTAGTAATAAGGAATGAGATACCATTGTTGGAAAACATATGTGTTATATTTTCATTTCTCCCCCTCACTGCCCATAATAATTTCATGACTTTGAGGAACAAATAAAGTATATGTTTTTTTTGTTTTGTTTTTTATTTTTTTATTTTTAAATTTTTATTGTTATGTTAATCACGATACGTTACATCATTAGTTTTTGATGTAGTGCTCCATGAGTCATTGTTTGTGCATAACACCCAGTGCTCCACGCAGAACATGCCCTCCTTAATACCCATCACCAGGCTAACCCATCCCCCCTTGTTTTGTTTTTTAAAGATTTTATTTATTTATTTGACAGAGAGAGAGTTAGCGAGAGCAGGAACACAAACAGGAGGAGTGGGAGAGGGAGAAGCAGGCTTCCCGCCAAGCAGGGAGCCTGAGGTGGGGCTCCATCCCAGGATCCTGGGATCATGACCTGAGCCGAAGGCAGACGCTTAATGGCTGAGCCACCCAGGCGCCCCAAGTATATGTTTTATATAGGCATTAACATCTCCTGGTGGGTTGCAAATTTTACAATCAAAGATTTTGAATACTGGAGGAAGTAAAAGAGCAGTTGAAGGCTTCTTAGTAGGTTTTCATTAAATCCTGTTTGCTTTATGTGCAAAGATATTTAGCTAGGCTTCTTACTAATACTTCTATTCAGTTTATATGAAGATTGTTATAGCTGTAACATACATGTAGCAACTGAAATTCAGCAAAGGACAAATTATTCTCTGGGCAGCATTTTACTGTTGGATCACTGTCACTATGCAGTATCCTCTTTTTCTCATTTAATGGTAAAATATAACCTAAAAGTGGAGCAGTTACACAAATGCCTACCATTTGACCAGCGAAATTTTCCAAGATGTCTCTTTTGTTTCTCACCAGTGTGCTCTTAGGATGTTAATAATATCTGGTCCAAAATAGCCCAACTCATCAGCTTAATTACTAGGAAAAATGCCTTTGACAGACAGGTTTATGAACACTTTCAAACATTAGTGAGTTTTTGGTTCACCATCCATATATATATGATTATAGAGTAAAATTGGATTTTAAGGCATTAAAATAAAAATATTTAAAAAATGTCTTCCCCAAATTTGTTATGAGAAGCACAAGAACATGTATTTATTTTCTACTAGAACTTTAATTAGTTGGAAAACATGTTTTTTGACTACTTCTCTTTGTAAATATCGACATAATTTACCAAATCGTAATGTTTCTAAAATGAGTATAGTGATATACATGAAACGTTCCCTGTTTTCCTGATTTTTAAACTTTGATTTCTTGGTGAGGTCATGGAATGAACTGAATAAAGCAAAAGATAACTGCTTTTTTTTTTTTTCTTTTACTTTAAAGTCGTTTTTGCTGAGGGGTTTATTTTCCTGGTAGGACATCAGGTAATACAACTTCACGGTGATGTCAGCTCCCTCTAGTGGATTTCAGTATACTTGTGGTTGGGTGTCTATAAAATCAACTGGGGAAAAGATTGTGATGTGACTGTCCTAAATTTTCAAACATTGACCTTTTTAACATTAATGCATTTCTCTTGTCATAGAATCTGTAAACTTTATTTCAGAAACGTTCAGAATGTTGATGCTTGTTGACAGCTGAGCTTTGATTATGATACTAAAATATAAATAGGTGATATATACTATCTATAGAGCCATCAGTCTGCCTATCTATATTATCATGTCTTTTCTTTTATCTTTTATACATATGATGATCATAAAACTGCCAAACATTTTCACTTCATTGATTTATAAATAAAATGCCCTCGGGGCACCTGGATGGCTCAGTCTTTAAGCATCTGCCTTTGGCTCAGGTCATGATCCCAGGGTCCTGGGATCAAGCCCCGCGTTGGGCTCCCTGCTCCGCGGGAAGCCTGCTTCTCCCTCTCCCACTCCCCCTGCTTGTGTCCCCTCTCTCACTGTCTCTCTCTCTCTCTCAAATAAATAAATAAAATCTTTTAAAAAAATGTCCTCCCTTAACTTTATTTACCAAAACATCTTTACCAATTTTACTCTTTTGGTAATCTTATCTTGATAATTAATAAGTGTTAATTTAAAATGGATTATATATATGAATTACAAATTATATAATCTATATGTGCATGTATAACTTATGTGTTATATATGTACACTATATATTATATGTATATGATTATATACATATCAATTATAATTGAATTATATATTTTTATATATATATTATAAATTTATATATGTAACTTCATATATTATGTATTGATATATAAATATTATATACCTATATATAAAAGGCAAAAAAATTCACCATATCAAGTCATATTATAGTTCAGTTTGTTAATTAATCATTATTTCCAAATAATTTTTACATATGTATGCTTTACTCCCAAACTGGCATGCGGGAGTAAATCTGATTTCTTGTATTACCGCACAGTACTTTGAACATATTAAGTATTCAGCAAATAAGAGCTAACACAAGGGGTGGTAATCCATTCTGACTTTCAACTCTCCTTTCCTTTTTTTTCTTTACTAGTGTTCTCACAATGAAACAAAAACTTGATTTTTAAATGTACTTTGAGTAGTGAAAATTGGTCTAAGGATTTGCTGCTTGGTACCTGGCAGAGATGTTATGAAAAACTAATATTGAAAGATAAAATGCATTCTATATTCATAGTGATTTTTAGTCTATAAATAAATCATATAAATTATCTTAGTCCTCACAGAGCAGTCCTTTAAGAATGTTTTATTATCGCGTGTCACAAGTGACCTCATGGAGCTTGAATAACTGAAAGGATGAATATTAGATTGTATAAGAACTAGCAAGTATACATGGATGTTTGTAGTGACATTATTCATGATAACCAAAAAGTGGAAGCAACTCAAATGCCCATTAGCTGATGAGTAAAGAAAGAAAATGGGCCTCTCTATACAATGAAATATTATTCAATAATAAAGTGTAATGAAGCACCAATACTTGCTACAGCATGGATGGACCTTAAAAAGATGCTAAAGAAAGAAGCCAGCTGCAAAAGACCATATGTTATATGATTCCATTTATAGGAAATGGCCGAAATTGACATACCTAGAGAGACAGAATGTAGATTAATGGTTGCCCGGGGCTAGAAGATTGAGAGAGTAGAATTGTCTCCCAAAACAATTGCGGGAACCTTTTCTAGAAACTGCAAACCAGAAGGACTATGCTCTTATTTAGAGAAATATAGAAAAAATATAGCACATGGCTTGTTACAGGTGATCTCTTATTTTAACAAGAAAGGTTTTAAATGTACTTCTTACCTGTAAATATGAAAACAAAACTTGTGCTATAGTTTGGATTTATTTCAATTGGAAGTATAAGTCATGTCAGAAAAATAATTATTAGGTATTTAGTTTTGCAGAAACTGGAGGAAGAGACTACATTAGCTATGACAAAACAAGTGGGTTTTTTTCCCCCCTTAAAGTTCAGAAGGATTTTCATTCATTCTACAACCTTAGATTTCTGGCCTAGTACAATCTTTTTTAAGAAAAAATTGCTGGCTAACTGAACATAATTTAAAAAATGTGATAACATGAAACACGAGATCTACCCTCCTAAATTTTTTAGTGCACAATGTTGTACAGCAGATCTCTAGAAATTAACTCTTGCATGACTAAAATTTTATACCTGATAAACAGCCACTCCCCATTTCCCCTTCCCTCTCACCTGGGCACCCACCATTCTATTCTCTGCTTCTAGGAATTTGATTCTGTTAGGTACCTCATAGAGTAGAATCATGTGGTATTTGTCCTTCTGTGACTGGTTTATTTCATTTAGCATAATGTATTCCAAATGCTTCCCTATTGTTGCATATGGCAGGACTTTCCTATTTTTTAAGGTTGAATGATATTCTATTTGTGTATACACCACATTTTCTTTTTCCATTTACCCATTGATAGACATTTAGTTTCTTTCCATATCTTGGCTATTGTGAATAATGCTGCAATAAACATGAGACTATAGATACCTCTTCAAGATCCCAATTTCAGTTCTTTTGGATATGTCCCCAGACGTGGCATTGCTGGATTTGTATGGTAGTTCTAATTTGTAATTTTTTGAGGAACCTTTATACTGTTTCCTCTAGCAGCTGCACCATTTTATATTTCTACAAATGGTGGCGAGTTCCAATTTTTCTACATTCTCAGCAGTACTTGTTATCTTTTGTTACTTTTTGATAATAGCCACCCCAGCAAGTGTAGGGTGATCTCATTGTGGTTTTGATATGCATATTTCTCATAATTAGTGATGTTGAACATCTTTTCATATATCTGTTTTCATTTGTGTGTCATCTTTGGAGAAATGTCTATTTAAGCCCTTGCCTATTGTTTTAGTCAGATTATTTTTTTCTGTTGAGTTGTAGGAGTTCCTTATATATTTTAAATGGTAACCTCTAATCATTATGTGGTTTACATTTATTTTCTCCCATGCTGTAGGTTGTTGTTTTATTCTGTTGTTTCCTTTGCTGTGCAGAACTTTTTAGTTTCACGTGGTCCCATTTATTTTTATGTCAAATCTAAGCAGTCATTTCAAGACCAATGTTAAGAAGCATTCTCCCTGTGTTTCATTCTAGGAGTTTTATGGTTACAGTTTTTCAGTTAAGGTTTTAATCTCTTTCAGGTTGATTTTTATATGTGCTGTAAGATAAGGGCAGCCTGCCTAACCCTTGATATTTTTTAAAGATTTTATTTATTTATTTATTTATTTATTTATTTGTCAGAGAGAGAGAGAGAGAGAGGGAGGAGCAGAAGGACAGGGAGAAGCAGACCCCCCACTGAGCAGGGAGCCAAACGTGGGGCTCGATCCCAAGACCCTGGGATCATGATCTGAACTGAAGGCAGACGCTTA